CCCCCCCCCCCCCCCCCCAAAATTTGGCTTAGGGAAGGCCCCCCCTTTAGCCTGCCCTTGGTAAACCCCCCCCACCTTATTCTGCCCTGGGTCCTCTTTGGGAATTTCAGGAGTGAATCTGCCTGCAGGTGACTGTGCGGCACGTTGGGTGGCTTCACCTGTGCGTTTAATCCGCTGTGCAGACAGTCCCTAAAACCGGCCGGACCCCACCCTTCACGTCCTCACCCCGTTCTGTCGTTTAATCCCCCTGCGGGGGGGCTGCCGTATCCATTGTAATGGCATTTTAATCCCCATTAGTCACTGACATGAGTGGTCAGAGGCCCCCTTTCCCTGCTAAGCCTGAGCAGGTGGAGATGGCAAACCCCCCCGCCCCCCCACGCTGGCGCTGCCTCCTCACCCGGCAGGCCGGCCTGCGTCTCCCTCATTACCGATCCGCAGACAGGGGAAGTGTTTGATCCCGCGGAGCCGGCAAGGGCGAGGTGCAGCACAGGCTGTCATGGAGGGCAGACAACATCCAGGAGACCAAGTCAAACTGCCTGTCATGATCTTCAGCTACGTGATGCGTGACTCGTACGCTGAAATGAAGTCCGTCTCCTGCAAGAAACAGTAGTGAGTGGGACATAAACACACAGGTGTCCATCAACTTACGCCTGGGTTTGTCCTGGAAGAGAGGTCGTAAGTCCGTCTGGACGCATCTCCCTCGTTATAGGGGAGATGTCCAATGTGCTGTACAGCATAAAGTAAGATACAATATCACACGCATTTAATTACACCTCTGTAGTGGCAGCACAATCAGTTTGTTTTGGTTCTTGCCACCTGCCGCACGCGTAGTAAAATATGTCCACTAAAGTCTACTCCGTCTGCTTCGGACGTCTCTCAATAAATTTTATTAAGGCACTTATGGAACGTAAATATGATCAAACGTTACTCGATAGGGTGTAAGTCAATGGATGACTGTATAAGACATTTAAACATGACATATTGAGATACAGACATAAGATATTGAACAATATAGTTATAAAATGTAGTTTAAAGAATACAGTCATGCAAATGGGCAATGAAATTGAATGAGCAGGAATGTGCAGTAAATGGACTTTGCTTTCAATGTGTTATGAGGGAGAATGTTGCTCCTTTTATCTGGGACTGTCATCATTGTCTGGCTTCTCCCATCCCGACTGGCCTGTCTTGTATTCCTTCCTGTGCCGATATACATTTTCCTGAAGCAGTAGCAGTTCGAGGCCTTGCTCAGTGCCACCCCCCCCCTCGGTGGGATATGAACCAGCAGTCATCTTCTAACTCTCCTTTTTAGTGGCCTGGCCACTATCCGGGGGTGGGCAGATCAAAAGCGTCCACTCTCGTGTGTGTCTGCGATCGTGAATTTCGACACGACCTGGCGCCCAGCGTTAATCGTGTCGGGGGCAGATTAAAGGGGACTCGAGCAGGCTTTAATGGGAAGCGTTTGTACGTTAAGCTGGGTCAGATGTGTCTCTCCACGTCGGTGACCCTTATGGGAGTCTGGCCACTGGGTCATGGAGGTCTGTCATTTCTGTGAAAGGGCCCTGCATTAGCGGGATGAACGGCTGGGTCTCTGGGGGTGATTTTTCGTTCTAGCAGCGCTGATGGTGGGGAAGTTCGCAGCCCCATCAGTATCTGTGAAAATGGCTCCTGCTGAGTGGCGCGGCCCGATAATGCTGTCATGTGACTTCTGCACACACTTGATATCTCATGCTCACACTCTCTCTCTCTCTGTCTCTCTCTCTCTGTCTCACTCTCTCTCTCTATGCAGAACTACACCCAGTACATCCCGCTCTCCATCTATGACCTGCAGACGTGGATGGGCAGTCCCTCCATCTTCGTGTACGACTGCTCCAACGCCGGCATCATTGTAAAGTCCTTCAAGCAGTTCGCCTTGCAGCGGGAGCAGGAGCTGGNTCTCTGTGTGTAATTCGGTGCTCTCTCAGTCCCGCCGTCCTGCAGACCTTTGAGCCTCTTGTCTCTGTGTGTAATTCGGTGCTCTCTCAGTCCGGCTGTCCTGCAGACCTTTGAGCCTCTTGCTTTTCTCTCTGTATGTCTGCATGCTTTCACTGTTCCCCAACCGACTCATGGAACCGCCTATCCTCCCTGGCAATCTGCCGGCCGGGACGTGGCCGGAGGCGTGTTATGGACCGCCTGGCTGATACAAGTGAGCTGTGCTAGAAAATTCAGGTGTTTTATTCTTGCCCAGAACAACAAAATCTCACCAAGGACAAATGCCAATAGAGGACTGCATAACTTTCTGGAGCTGCAAGTGTTCTAGCTTTTATTTCATTAAAAAATAACCATGCTGCTGGTCCTTGGAGGGAAAGGGTTTCTGGAAAATGCAAAATAACACTGGTGCCCTCTTTGTATTGTCTGAACCAGACTTATTAAGGTTCTGGATATTTCGTGCATCCCCTGGCCTCTGAAAGGTCTTCCCTGCTAGAAAGATCCACAGATGTGCTCCTGGTGTCAGTGAATCCTCAGGGCTGTTGCGTCAGTGTTTTCACTGCAGCGTTAAATGCGCCTTTTGTAGTGTTGCGTCACCGTGGTGACCTGTCCCTGTGCGTTGTGGCATCGGACGCCAAACCAACACCTTGGCAGTTGCTGCCTACTGCCAGGGTGGAGCCTGTTTCAGAATGGGTGCACATCCACCTGACGAGACTTCATCATCCACACTGCAACATGGTCAGACCGCGAGAGCTCTGAATCAGATGTGTGTGATCCTTGCGTACACATGTGAGCGTCTCCATGGCGATTGGGCCCATTTTAGACGGGGGGGTAATCGGGGTGCATGCAGTAGTGCTTGACTGTAGCATTCCCCTCTTCCTGGCACTCATCCCCTCCAGTAGTAGCATTGCAATCTTCCGTGTTCCCATGATTCCGCAGGACTCAGCTGTGTGACTTTTGCGTTAGTGAGTTAGTGCCATCAGTCAGCCTGCCATCCTAGATCAGTTAGTGCACTTAACCCCCAATGACCTCTGCGGATACTTCAGTTGCTCACCTCTCATGTTTCTGATTTTTAAAAAAGGCATTCTAGGATCTGCAGTGTTTCGGCCTCCCCCAGTATCCCTGCTTCAGGCTGGGATGTTCAGAATGGGGGGTGGGGGGTGGGGGGGTTGGCTAAACTTCACTCCCAATGGAGAAAACCTCACGTAGGTGTTGCTGATGTCCCTCGGACAGCTGTCCTGACAAATCTCCATTTTCTAGTGTTACATGAAATTAGTGGTGCCACCTCTGTCAGTGTGCCCCCTCATTCCCCCCCCCTCCAGCTGCTTGACTCATTCTCTGTCCCCTGTACATCAGCATCCCCATGGGAGTAGATATTGGGCTCTGAGGATGTCGCAGCTCCTTGCTCTAGTCTTTTACTGCCAGGATGGTCTCTAGCACAACACTACTCTTGTGCTCCTCCCAACCCTACTCCTACTCCATCCATACTCCCCAATCCTGTACCTACTCTAAGCCCCCCCAACTGTACTACTATTCTAACCCCCCTCAACTGTACTCTTATGCTAAGCTCCCAACCGTACACCTACTCTAACCTGCCCAACTGTACTCCTACCCTAACACCCTAACCCTACTGCTACTGCAACCATACACTAACTCTAACCCCCTAACCCTACTGCTGCTCTAACCCCCCCAACTCCACTCCTATTGTAACCCTGCTCTAACCCGCCCAACCCGAATATTACTCTAACCATCCCTCTACCCTCCTCCTACTGCAACTACTTCCAACCCTAACCCTTGTCCTCCCCCTCCCCCATCACTGCCCCCGCTCTGCCCCCTGTCCCGTTTTCCCTCTCCCCTGATCCACGCCCACTGCTCTAGCTGCTGCATTTGCACTACAAAGCAGGTTGGGTGCGTTTATGACGACAATCACGATGCACGCAATGCCCCCCCCCCCCCCCCCCCCCCCCCCCCCCCCCGGGGGGGGGGGGGGGGGGGGGTTCCTTGCAGCTCTCCTCCATCTCTGCATTGTAACAGCACCCCCCCGCCCCCTGCTATCTCTCCCCATAAGACAGAGGAAAGCTGGCACAGACTCAGGGCTTTTCCCGGAGTCGGGGAGATCATGTGTTTCACACTGTGGGGATGAAGGCTGGTGAGATTCTCTCCCTCCATCCCTCCCTCATTCTCTCTCTCTCTCTCTCTCTGCGGTGTGCTCAGAAAGGTGCAAATGAATGCCTGTGTGGGGGTGGGCGTTCTCTCCCCATGTGATCTCCTCTAAAGTTTGAGGGCGTCCTTGCGCTCCTACTGATGGCCGCTTAAATTGAACACAGAAGTTCGGGGGCACCCGGGGGGAGATGTGTTTGAAACCCCTTTGAGCCAGCGGTAATGGCTACCAGAGGGAAGTAATGTGGTCTGACTGTCCAAGGGGGGGGGGCGTGTGGACATAAACCTTCAATTTCACACTCCCCTGGGGGGTGCAAGTCCCGAGGCTGGCTGTTTTGCTTCGGCTTTTGGCTGAAGGTGAGTCCCGGCGTGTTTCCTGCTGTAGGACGCGGCAGGCAGGAGGAAGCAGTGCCCAGACATCTTGGGGGATTGTGGGACACGCGGGGGCCGGAGTCTCCACCAACCGCTGCTCTACCGGGGAAATCCTGGGGCCCCCTGCCTGCTTGCCCGTGTGGCCAGTCCATGCAGAGTCGGCACCCACGCGGTGATGAGGTCATTGTTTCTCGCGCGCTGAGCTCACGAAGCAGCCGTCACATTGGACACAGGGGGTGCGTAGGCGGGGCTTAGGTGCCAGTGAGGACTCCGCCTGACAGGCTGGCGGGCCCACGCTGGCCTGTAGCTAAGAGAAGGCCCCCATGTAGTCGTCCTGAGCAGTGCCTGTAAAGGTCAGACGGGCAGCACTGGGAGACGCCAGGTCCGGTGGTGGGTCCCCCTCCACTCACTTCCTGTTCTTTTTCTTCTGTGTTATTCCCGTTTGTTTGGCAGTTGCCCTTATCAGCTGCGATTTTGCTGCACTGTGGGATTTGTGTGTCTTTCAAAGCGGCAATCAGGACTCGGAGTCACGTGGGTAAAAGGTAGGATCCGTTGCGGGAAAATTGCTTTACTGACACAAAAACGTGCTGGCAGACCACAAAACAGAATGGAAAAGGACAGGGCATCTGAGTATATGTGCCACTTTCACAGCCTCACGCCAGGGTAAATACTGGTGTTTTTGCTGAGGCAGACCTGAGAAAGTTTAGGATCTCTTTAGCTGGAGGTGGTCGGCATTGACGTGAGGTCTTCTAGGTACCTGTGTTAGGGGGCCTAGAATTCGACCACATCCCAGACACTGAGGAGGCTGAGATTGCCGGTACTGTCAGGTGCTGCTGGGCCAGTTCCTCTCTGAAGTGCGCGCCGACCGGATCGTGTCACCACGGTGGATGCGTAATGGGTCGGAGCTCAGCATTGTCATTAAAAACTAATTAGATGTTATTCCGCAGTCCCGCGCACTCAAAAGTGTTCACTGTATCAGCTAATAACTTTAGACGGCACTCCTGTGGGTGATCCTGTGGCGTGTTAGAAGCCATGTGTGGTTTGGCCATATGAACAGCTCCGTGGGATGTGACTTCTGCTTTTTAGCAGGTCTGCGGGACGTCAGCCCCGCCCCCGTCTATGTGCCGGCTTTTATGGAAAAAGCAGTTTTCCCCTGGCACTGCTGGAGATTCTCTATGCAGCCGACTCGGGCAGCGGGAAAGACGGCTAAACGTGCGCATGCGATTTGAAGGCCTCCCATCATGTGACTGATGAGTCATCGCCCGGCCCTGGGTTCGTCCTTCTGTTCTGTCCTGTCCTGATCGTTTACCCTCAATTGTGAAGGTACATCGAACGCCCGTCACGTGCTTTATTGCATTTAGGGTAACTGACTGTAACATTGCTGTGCAGCCCATGAATGGAATGGCAGCCTTAGGTTGGGTGCTTAGGGGGTAGGCCTAGCATGTGATGTTGATGTGTGTGTCCCCCCCCCCCNCCATGGTGGACAGTGCCAGCGTGTCTGCTGGGCAGTGGATACGGAGGTCCATGGTGGACAGTGCCAGCGTGTCTGCTGGGCAGTGGATACAGAGGGCCATGGTGGACAGTGCCAGCGCATCGCTGGGCAGTGGATATGGAGGGCCATGGTGGACAGTGCCAGTGCATTGCTGGGCAGTGGATACAGAGGGCCATGGTGGACAGTTCCAGCGCATCGCTGGGCAGTGGATACGGAGGGCCATGGTGGACAGTGCCAGCGTGTCTGCTGGGCAGTGGATACGGAGGTCCATGGTGGACAGTGCTAGCGCATCGCTGGACAGTGGATACGGAGGGCCATGGTGGACTGTGCCAGCGTGTCTGCTGGGCAGTGGATACGGAGGGCGTCATCACACGGTGATAAAAAAGCAGTATGGATGGGAATTTGACGTAGCCTTTCCTACTGTCTGGGAATGTTGCTTCACCATGGAAACACCCCACTTTCCTCCTTTCACTGCCCTGCTGTTGTCCTGCAGGCGAGGTGATGCGTCTGGACACACTGGAGGTTGTGCCGTATCCCCATGGTAACGTGAGCTGTATCCCATGGCTGTCCTTTCATCATGTCCGCCTTGGGAGCGCCACTCGCTCTCTCCCCTGGTTGCAGACTTTCAGCCTTTTCCCCAGATTTTCCCAATTTAAGCTTTCCTTTTCTTTTGCGGTAAGCAATTCAAATTGAAATCTCATCACGAGCATCATTTGGAGGATAGGGTCAGGAGGGCAGTAGTAGTGCGCACTGGCTGAGCAGGGCGGTCCTGAACTGGAGCTGAGGTCTGCATTCAAAAGGCTCAACGTGAAAGTCAATGTGAAACACAGCTATATACATATAATGTATTGGAGCAAAATGAGGTACAAAACAAGAACAAAGCATACCAAACAAAAGCTTTCAAATGAGGGCAGGGAGAGGACAAGTCACATCATTTCAGTGGGTACTAATGAAAATTATTATTCAGAATGGCTTTCTGCTGTGTGTGTGTGTCTGATGGTATTAATATACTGTCATTGGATATAGATTGTGGATACTCTGTGATTTATGGATATATACAGTGACCACACTGTGATTGGATATGATGATTTGTTATTGTTTAATAATGTTTGACTGTGTTCTGGGGTGTGGCTATAGTTTGGTCCTTTGCATTCTGCATTCTGAGCTCCTCCCCCCTGCATTCTGAGCTCCTCCCCCCTGCATTCTGAGCCCCTCCCCACTTGCATTCAGAGCCCCTCCCTCCCTTATGGGCCCTGTAAAAGCTACCAGAGCCAGTCCTCTTTGCAAGAGCAGTATTTGTTGAGGGTTGCCATGCTAATCACTGGTGTGTGCCTTTTTATCCAACCCCCCCCCCCATCGGAGATCCCCCTGGGCTTCCTCCAGCCGTGCCTCACATCATTAATTAGGGAGTCCTGCTGCTCACTGCCCGCTCCTCTGTAGTTAAAGGACAGCCAGCCCAGCCTTCCTGTGAAGACTTCACACAGCTGAGAATATTTGAAAAAATCCATCATCAGTTTCAGAGATAATTTAGCTTCTCCTTTAGTGTCAATTCTGTTTATTTTACTTGTTGATCCTCAGTCCCTCTCCACATCAGGCCAGCTCTGGGCAGTTTTTCTGCCACTGGAATCACTGCAGTGTTTCCCCTACTATTATATTAGGGGGGCGCCCCACCCCTCCAACGGCACCTCCCGCCCCCCCTTGAAGGTCAAGTTTTATTTAATTTTATTTTCTATATCATTTATCATTTATATCGTTTAAGGTTACTTTTCCTATAGAACAGGGATTACTCAGTTCCCCTTCCAGCTGATTCGTTGCCTTGTTCCTGGCATTTGTATGTACCGATGTGTTCAGAGCTCCCTTTCTGTCAAACCATGGCATCTGTGTCTTGAAGTCTTTTTGCTCTGTTGTTGCACCTCTGAAAAGGCGTAACCCAAATGAATCTCTGCACCGTGCAGTAATCCCGGCCTTTTGTGGTTCAGTTCACTGGATATAAACTGTTATTCTGCTTTGGGGCCGAACGTGCTCGGTTTGGGGATGCAGTGTGGAGTGTGTTGCCACGGAGATGCGTGGCAGTGAACGCTGTACATTTTGCTCTGCGCTCATGGAGGTGTTCAGAGTAGATACAGTCGTGGTTTTGGCTCGCTGGGTAGGGGAGATGTCAAGGGTCTAAAGTGTGTTGGATGCCTGTTTGTTGGGGGGTGTGAGGATGGGGGGGAGGGGGGGCGTGGTCCTCCCTGTGATCGCCGGTCCCCAAGGACATCGCAGCTCTCTGCCTCCATCTCCCGGGAAAACACTCCGAGTTTTTTTTCCCCTGCACCACGGCGGGGATTACCCGCTTAGAAATGAATCTCTGCACGCGGAGCGGCGGGAAGGGAGACCCAGCTGCACGTGGGTGGGAGGGAGCGTGCCGCGTGATGTAACACCAGCGGAGGGGCTCCATCACCGCCGCCTTTCATCGCCCGCCAAGGCGTGTCGCCGTCGCCCCTCGTTCCCTGATTAAAACCTGCTGGGGTGGGGAGTCTTCGTCTCCTCACCCGACCTCCGCAGGAAACGTCTTCGCTCTAACCGGGACGCCGCTAAGCTATGAGTGTGTGGTCATGGCAGGACTGGGGCAACCACCTAAAGGTGTGGGGTCAGAACACCTGATCTTTCGAGGACATTTTGTTTCGGCTCCTCACGCAGCAGTCTACGGGAGGGTCCAGTCTGAGCCTAGCATTGGTGTGTAGGGTCAGGGGAATGCTTGGGGTAACCATCTCTCTGGTACTTACCCTGGAACACAGGAGGGGGTGGAGACATCACCGTGTTGTTCGAGGCGCTGGCTCCTTGCTGATGCCTGCAGCAGAAAAGACGACGTGGAGGTTAATAACGCCGCTGTCGCTTCCTCCCTAATGGAGATGATTCGGCGCGTCTGCGGCCAGTGTGGCTCCGCAGACGGGCGGAGGATCGGCGGAGGATCGGCGGGAAGCACGCCACGCGTCGCGCAGCCTCCTCCTTCACGGCAGTTCAGTGCTCGTTGACGGACGTGGGAGTCTTGCACCCCCACGCACTCCCATGCTCACTCTCCTCCTTACTTTGGAGCGCCTCCCAAATTGCCAGTGTGGCTCCACATGTAGCAGCAGGTGGCGCTCTTTCAGCCTGTGGTGCCTTCATAGCACCTCCTGGTGTTTCATTGTTCACAATCACAATCAATTTTATTTTAACATGTCCTAGCTGCCTCCCCACCATGTGTACCCCTGAGCGATTGCCGTGGATACGTGTTCCGCTGGATGCCATTCCCGTTTCACCTCTACCTAACCCGGGCCTTTGGTTCTGTCTGCAGGTTCTGCATGCAGAAGAGCGCCAAGCTGGTGCCGGGCGTGACGCTGGACCTGATCGAGAAGTGAGTACACCCCCTCCCCTGCTCCCCGCCTCGTTTTCTTGCTCTGCCTTTACTTTGGGTATTAATTTAACCCCCTTGATTTAGAGGCAGGTGGCCACAGACGCATTGGTGGGGGCTCTCTGCTCTGCTGTCCTCTGTCCTCTCTCTCTCTCTCACTCACTGACGTCATGCTCTGGGGTTTAATTGAAGATGGTGGAATGAAGATGACAGTGAGATGCCGTTAGGGACCCCCCCCAGACTGACAGACCCTAATCAAGGAGGTGACGGCTGACACATAATGGCATTGTCCACTGCCGCCCCCACTTTCAACACCCCAGCCCCCGCTGCCGCCCCCGCTGAATTAGATCAGTGCTGCAGCTTAGTGTTAACTTTTATTTTCCTTTATTTATTTTTTTTGCTTGCTTCGCAATACTTTTTCATAATCAGCCCCTCCCCCACAAACCGAAGGATTTTTAGCACGATCATCTTTTGGAAACATGCTGTCAAACAGCCATAATCTCTCTGGCCGCTGGCTTGCCCGGCACTGAGAGGCACTCTGGGCTGGGAGAGAAACTCGCAGCGCATTTTAACCATAAGCATCAGCCCTAGTGGAGCATTTAAATGTGTTTTTTTTGCTGCGCTTCTGAGAGCATCACAGCGCTTTGCTCCATTAGGGTGATTCAGGGCTGGCGTGGTGCACTTTGGCATAGGAGCACATTCAGCAGCTCGGGCATTAGGCGGCCGGACGAGTGGACAGGAAGGGCCGGCCCTATGCGGCTTATTTCCCACTGGGCTCGGCCGGGTGGGGGGCCCTTCTTGTGCTTTTCTCCCCTTAGTCGGCGATTCGCAAATGTGTCCTGAAGGTGGCGGCAGAGAGCCGGGAGGGTCGTCTGGGGTGGGGGGTGTGGGATAGTATGGGGGTGTGACAGGCTGCTAATGTCAGGACTTGCGCTCAGGACCTTAACATGTATGCTGCTGCCTTTGGGTGACTGTGTTACTCAGCCCTTATACGACAGGCCAGAATAATCCTGACGAAGCCCAGGAAGACGCCGGTCACACAGAAATGTGTCACTCGTTCGAAATTCCGTTCCCTTATTCACTAGGTGCCAAAACAGCAGCGCCTGGTTGTGTATTGATCAGACGTAGCCTACTGAACATGAATGAAGCAGCCTTTGTCCACACTGGGCCTCACAGAAGACGCACTAATGGGCATCTTACGGATCTGGCGTGAATCCGAACGTGTCCCGCAGTGAACAGATCTCCCAGGATCCCGTGGAGTTATTGTGACCAGGGGCGTACCTAGAATTTCTGGGCCCCCTGACAAAATGTCTCCTTGGGCCCCCCCTGCCCTATTTTGCATATATATTTATATATTAAAGGCCCCCTGTCAGGTGCTGGACTCCCTGCATATCCGTCACACTTCCGATGCCCTTGATTATGACATCCACCGGACCCCCCCCCCCCTGCCACCACCCCACACAAACCCCCCCCCCCCAGATCCTACTGGATCCCACCAGATCCCACTGGATAGGCCTGGTCCCTGTGTTCCATTAATCCTTGTCAAGTCTGATTAGGTTTGATAGTAGCAATTGGAAAAAGGGGATTTCAGAACAACATGGTAGGTGTAGTTATCAGTTTTTTGGTCCCATTTGGTTTTTCTGGGTCTCAGTCACACCTGCCTTTCATAGCCTAATTTCTTTAACTTGATAATGAGTACCAAATATGGTCATGTTGGGGGAGGGGCTTAGTGGACAGGGGCGGGTCCCATGGCCTGGTGGGTTTGGGGACAGGTGGGTGGAGTGGCGTGAGTGGCCGGGCTGTAGATTTATAGAATTATCCCGATGCGTTTGAAGGCTTTCAGTGGCCTGATCAGATGAGTCGTTTCAAAGGCGGGGGAATGGGGGGGTGACATTTCGCCTGCAGCTTTTTAAATTGGCAGGAGTCCTGTGACTCAGCTGTGACACGCGCCTCACTACGACTCCGAGGGTGCTCGGCATTCATATTGTTCTTTTTTCCCCTCTGTTTCCCTTTGTCTTTCTTTGGCGATCGCGCTGTCTCATTGCCGCATCCTGACGCAATGGAATAACCCCCCCGCCCCCCCCACGCAACTCCGCAATGCCACTTATGAACAGCTGCCAATCAGAGCTTACTAGGGTCACCAGGAGTTTATCTGAGCCTGTAGCGGAGGGGGGTACGTGTGCGCTAAGGGTGCGCTAAGGGTGCGCTAAGGGTGCGCTAAGGGTGTAGTGGGCGAGTGTGCAGTGCCCATTTTAGCTGTGAACACCTTTGCCCGCCTGGTACGGAAGGCGCTTCTGGTCCCCGTCCCTGTCCTCCTCGTTTTCCAGTTTTCTTGCTCTTCCTCTGGGTTCCCTGACTAACCTCCCTGCCAAGGACCTGCAGAGCCGTCAGGAAGCTGTTCGCTCGCAGACTGACGATACTGTGTGTTTCCCCCGAAGTAATTATCTGCAATATGCCTTGCAGGATTCATTTGGTTAACGGAGTAGATTGATGTCACCCACTTCCTGGCGTCGTCTCCGGCAGTGCAAGGCTCCTCCCCCCTGCGGGAAGCACTCCGGCCGCGCCTCGGATAAATGAAAACGGTATCTAGGTCGTGTTTCTAAGTAACGGAGAACAGACGGCCCGGATGCTGCCGGATAAGGCTGTCGTTTGGGACCCTTTTACGGTTGGGTGGAAACTTGTATCTCCTGTAAGCGTCTTTGGGAACATCTCTGCCGTGAACGTTCCCCGTTTTAGACTCGGCATTTGATGGACATTCCGGTCAGTTCCCAGAAGTCTGATGTGCATCTCTTACCTTTCCTGCCCGCCTGTGGTCAGGTTTTGCGTGAGTGGTTTTGAACCACATTTAAAAAGTTGCACAATAGCAGGTAGAAAGTTTACATTTTTAAGGTAAAATTCAATATACCAAAATCAATGGTATTAATAATATATAAAAATGAAAACATATTTTAGTTTTTTTTTCTTCTTTCTAGATTAGATACCCCAAAGACTGTTAAAGGCCCGACTCGACCTGCAGTTACTGGATAACACTAACAAGCTCACCAGCTCCGCAGTGGCCAGTGGGTCAGGGTTTAACACAGAGAGCTGCATGCAGCCGCGATTGGCTAAATGAGCACACAGGCGGCCTTTCTGGTGTCGAAGGCGTCTTTGCAGGTTATATAAATGGGCCCAATAAACAGTCAGCACTGATGCAACTTTTATTCTCCACTCTGCATGCGCTACGTGTCCCCCAGGAAGGAATGTAGAAAATTGGGTTCTTAAAGAGGGAAAATCCATTCAAAGGAAATGTGCGCCTGTAATTTCGAGCACTTTCTGATTGGGGGGGGGGGTGGGGGGGGTTGGATGGAAGAGGAAAAAAGAATCACTGAAGTTTCGTAATGGCACAGCAAGTTATGAGGCAGCATGCGCTGGGTGCATTTCCTTAGCTTAGCTTTACATATGCCGACAGAGAAGGTAGCTGAAGTTCACACAGTTGGTGTGAGAGCCACATTGCCCGTCGTTGGGCTGCATGACCAGCAGGGATCAGCGTATCCCCACGCAACATGCAGAACTCCACCGGTGTCTGTATGTCTCTGTCAAGCAAACTGATGATGTAAAATGGGTAATCAATGGAATAGATAGTAGGAGTAATTACCATGAATTTGAATTTTAATGTAAAACATATCGATAGGTTCACATTTCTGCTATATTTAAAGTGTTGACTGACCATATAGGGTTTATCTGAACAGATCCTCTCTGGTAATATAGGATTGATCAGAAAGATTTTATTACTCGCCTGATACTCCTGTTAGCTGTAAGCTAGCACTGAAAGGCTAACACCTTTTCTCCTGTAAGAAAGCACCGATACTCCTGTAAGATGTAAGCTAGCATCGATATTCCTATAGGGTCGGGCAGATACTCCTGTAGGCTAGCACCAATACTTCTATAGACTGGCGCAGATACTCCTGTAAGATAGCACTGATACTCCTGTAAGATGCAAGTTAGCATTGATACTCCTGTAGGATATAAGATCTAGCACGGATACTCCTAGACTGGCGTAAATACTCCTGTAAGCTTGCACCGATTATCCTGTTTGCTCGCACCAATAACCTATGACATCAAAAGCTCCCAGCCTCCCAGCACTCCCCCCCCCCCCCCCCGAATCAGGGATGGGTGTCGGTCCTGGTCTCCGGTGAGCTAGCTGGCAGCTGCAGCGCAGCTGAGTAAGTGCGATAAATGGCTGAATGCGCACTCCTTTATGGTCGCATTAAGGTCATTCCGAATCAAACGCCCAGTCGATATTGAAATCGATGGCAAAGATTTAGGAAGGCGTCTCCTCCTCTGCTGCCGTGGGAAGTTCCAGCAAACAGCGCTCGCTCAAGAATTTCCGTAGCACCCCACCCGGACCTTGCCCCCCTCGTCCCATTCACCCTGACCAGCCAACAGAAAGTTCTGGAAATGTTCAGAGGCCCGTGGGTAATGGGTGCTTTTTATTTTCAAGATATGTGTGGGGGGAGGGGGGTTTATAGTGCCACTCACCTGCACCTCCTGGGTCAGTAAAGAACAGCCAGCACATTTTACCTGGTTAATGTAACCATAGTGAAATGAGTTTAGTGTTAGATGTGGTGAAATGAAATACAGTTTCCCACTTTTGGCATTTCAAAGACTAGAAAATGGCCATGCTTCAGTCGTCTGTTGTAAATGCGCGGTCGCTCTTGCCAAATCTTCATAAATAAATGATTCGCTCAGATATTTTGCTTGCGTCCCCAGTCTTTAATGGGGTTTACGGGGACAGTGTTAATGGCGACACGCGGCGAATGCCGTTTGCCGTGGAATGGCTGCAGTCTGGTCGTATCACTGGGAAGCCAGGGATGCTTTGGAACACTTAGGCACCCCCGCAGTCCCCCGCCCACCAAAGCGCTCCCTTCCTGTCTTCTGAGCTGCGTGCTGCGGTTTATCGAACTTGCAGTGCTCACAGTGAAATGCTGTTTTTCCCATTGTCAAACAAAACCATGTATGGCACCATTAAAAAAACCTGCATTTGCCAAAAAAAGAGGGAAAAAAGTCTCTTCTTACTGATGTATTTCCGATGTCAGGTCCTTGAAGACGCCCCCATCCCCCCCCAACCCTCAGAGCTGCCCTCTGCTGGCGTGTGGATGGCGGCTCGGTGCCTAGCAGGCGGTGGTGCTGCGGGGAGCTTCGGGGCTTCGGCTTTTGAAGGCCAGGCCGTCGTTTCCCCGCACTTTAATATTCCCCTGTAATATTCCTCTTTACCCACACCAGCAGCCCCCTTTCCTCTCTTTCTCCTCTTAACCCGACTCCCAGTTGGTTCTGGCTCTGCAATATCGTCGTTCCCCTTGGTTGTCCCTGCACTAAGTTTGGGGCAGGGTGCCCATCCTGGGTGACGTCAGTGGATTATCCGGCCGGCTGCATGGTGCAGCTCTCTGGGAGCGACGGCGTTTCATCCCCCGCTTCACAGATTGAGGCGGCTTCTCCCTCAGGCTCTCATCCTGCTGCTGTCATGCACTGTTATACATCCGGAAAACCCAGTTCCCACACCTTTATGAGCATTTCTGCAAGGCTCTCCTCCTCCTTTCTGGATGCTGGCGCCTTCCACGTGTTTGTTTCGGTCTTGCGGACTTGGTGGTCATCTTGATTGCCTTGGTGTATTGCGTGGGCCTCGGTCTGAGCGATCTTCTCTGCATTTCCTCTGTCACTCCTCCCTGCCAATCATAAGCATAACCAGTATACTGTATAATTTATAGTGGCCTGTCTTGCCATCGTACCGCATGTACTTCAGATGACCGCAGTGTCATTTTGGGACGGCCACTCGCTTCCGCATCTCGCCACTAGGGGGCGGCCTCGGTGATTACATCACCCTGAGCCGCAGCCCTTATTAAATGCACAGATCTAAGCCATCAGTGGAGGTGATTCCTTAAGCCTCTCCGTATTGATCAAAGCCCTGCGTTGTCTGCTCTTGTGCACCCCACCCCCATGCTTCTGTACCGGTACCAGTGTACCAAACAGAATCCCTGCACTCATTTTAATCCGGGCCATTTGGTGCCGCCCGTGTAACCTCGGCTCAGAGGCGCAGGTGCTTTTTGATGTTTTATTCTCATTTGCGTGAGGCTTGAGCTCACTCTGTCTGCACATGCTCAGACCGAGCCGAGTGGTGCAAATGTGGGATCTCTCATTAAACTTCCACTACTGCCACCGATCCCCCCCCCCCCCCCCAGCTGAGGGCGGAAGCCGAAACAGGCTGCTGGTACATGCACAGAACAGACATTTTGGAATAATGATTCTAAAATAAATAATTCAGTATTTTGATAGTCTGCTTCCATTTGTTTCATGAAACTCCCAGCTCTGGTTAATAAAATGAAAAGAAACGTGCGTACATGACTGTCAAAGAGCTTCCTGTTTAGTTAGGATCCATTACATTTGGCAGTCATTGTGTAGTTTTACTTATTTTTTGACGGAGAAGCCGAGGTTTCTAGAGCATTCTGGGAAGGGTATCGGTGAAGTTGATATTCCCTGGGGGTAATGAGGATGTCTGAAGGAGCACATGGACGCGGGCAGAGAAGCGGCAGCTGTTTGACTGGCCTTGGTCTCCGTCCATCATGACGTCCTCATGGGAACCCTGTCTTGAGGGCTGACAGTAGGAGAAATTGCAAAATATTCAATTAATGAAGGCGCGTGCAGTGCATGCTTTGCTGGTATTTAAGGTCGAAGTTCTCTGTGTCTCTCTGTCTGTGTCTCTCGCCAAACAGGATCCCGGGGCGCCTGAACGACAGACGCACCCCCCTGGGGGAGCTCAACTGGATCTTCACAGCCATCACAGACACCATAGCGTGGAATGTGCTTCCCAGAGGTGAGCGGGGCTGGTCTGCACCCACGCGCTCATCCCTCTCTTTGGCGCCTGTCGCCCCATGTCTTCTGAGCTAAGGGCGTCAGGCCTGAGTGTGCCAGTCCAATTGCAGGGCTTTTTGAAGCTCAGACGCTTTCCCATTGGCTAGGCCAAGTGAGCATGTGCAGTGAGATAGTCTGTTGGGTAGCCATTCGGAGTTCTTCATTGGGCGACTTGTTCTTAGCCAGCTTTGATTTTCTTTCACATCCTAATATTTGCTGATGGATAAATCTTTAGCTGCATCTGATGATAATCAATCATCCGGAATTGAGGGCACCTGCCCAATCAAAGCCTATGTAGTGTAGTTCACTTCACAGGGAGTCTGAGGCAATCCTGACATATGTAGAGACCCCCCCCCCAGTAAAGCGAGCCAGTGAGATGACCTGATCCAGGTGAGAGTGTCTGTAAGCGCTGACCAAGCCTGTCCTCGTCCCCTCCTCCTCTCTTTGCAGACCTCTTCCAGAAACTGTTCCGCCAGGATCTGCTGGTAGCCAGTCTGTTCCGCAACTTCCTGCTGGCCGAGAGGATCATGAGGTCGTACAACTGCACCCCCGTCAGCAGCCCCCGCCTGCCCCCCACCTACATGCACGCCATGTGGTAAGGCCCCCAGCCGTCGCCCTGGGATACGCCATGGCTGCCTGCCCACCCACCCTTCATCCCAGATGTGTATCTCAAACGTGTATCTCTGATGCATTCAGACAGCACTGAAATATGGCCTTGTAAACACCATCCCCACAAGCTAATGAACGAAATGAATATGAAATGACATCCTGCGGTTTAGCTGAGACTGAAATTCACGTCAGTTCCAGCTCTGCCTTCCCTCAGTTCTGCTTGACAAGAATTTAAGGAGAATCGGAGCGACTCTGATGTTAGGCTGATCCCTACAAGGCAACAAACAGCTGGAGTGGAAAGAGAGAAAAGAGGGAGCAAGCAAAAGCTGTGATGGTACTTAAAGGATGAGAGCCTGTGTGGGTTCAAGCCAAACCACAGGCATGATAACCTTTTCCTGCACCTTTAAGGTGTGACCCGGCTGAGTGCGGGAACATGATGACCTTTTCCTGCACCTTTAAGGTGTGACCCGGCTGAGTGCGGGAACATGATGACCTTTTCCTGCACCTTTAAGGTGTGACCCGGCTGAGTGCGGGAACATGATACTCGGTGCCACCTTTGGCCCAGTCGTGTGTTTTACCAAGACTTCTGTGGCATCCTTATTCACACAAGTGCCGAATTTGTACTTAGTGAGCTTTTGCATTGAATCACGTGTTAGAGGCCTTAGCGGTGTGTGTTACGGCTCCGTGCGATACAGGCCTTAGCGGTGTGTGTTACGGCTCCGTGCGATACAGGCCTTAGCGGTGTGTGTTACGGCTCCGTGCGATACAGGCCTTAGCGGTGTGTGTTACGGCTCCGTGCGTTACAGGCCTTAGTGGTGTGTGTTACGGCTCCGTGCGATACAGGCCTTAGCGGTGTGTTCCACTCTCTGTCTCTCACTCTCTCTCATATTTTTACCCAGCTACCATCCTGCAGAACTACCAGTTGTGTGTGAACCAGGGAACCCCCCCCGCCCCCCACCATTGTTATTCCCGCGGCTTACCGGCCCTCTTAATGTTAACATTTGCTGGTTGGCGGGGGGGGGGGTCTGGCCCATCGGCGGACCTGCCCGGCGGCTCTTTAATAGCCCCACAAACGACCGGCAGCAGCTGGGTAGCGTTTTCCTGTGCAAATGTTTAATGGCTGTTTGCTGCCTTTGCTTTGCCTTTCAGCCACCCTCGCGTGTCTCTGGGACGTGGGGGTCTGTTTCAGAGACCGCTCTCTGAACAGCCCCCCCTCCAGCGGCCACACAGTGCACTGGGCCGCCGGTACTATTAATGTGTGTGAGATATTCCTCAGGCGGATTTTACTGCAGAGTCCTGGATCTGCCCCCATTTCCCTTTGACCCCGGGGTCTGACCGGCCCGCTTGGCACATAGACGGCGAATATATGGCCGATACTGACCCCGGTCTGTCCTCCCGCAGGCAGGCGTGGGACCTCGCCGTGGACATCTGCCTGTCCCAGCTACCCACCATCATTGAGGAGGGCACCGCCTTCAGAGTGAGTATCAGCCTCTCCACCTGCGCTGGAGGCCGTGGAGGGGGGGGGCTCTGCAAAGGCTCGCTCAGAACTCACCCCCCGCTCCTGTTAAGGCGCCCCTCGATACCGTGGGCGGTCTTTCCCGTCTTTTCACCACAGATGACTGATAAGTGTATGTTGGTTTAGATAGGGGGGGCGGGGGGCACGCTGCCATCTTCCTTCCGGAATCCAGTTCTGTTCCACTGGGCTCCTTTCACCGCCCACGCAGATCCATCCCAGGACCGTCTGTGCGTTCCTGCACCATTCATTAGTGCTGCCAGGCCTTCTGGGAAAGGGCCTCATCATTAATGTTATTACGTTTCGTAACAGGAAATACGGCGCGGCGTGTTTTGTTGGCATTTGTGCAGCGGCGGATTACGTCGAGCAGAATCGATAGATTCATAACGCGGGGCCTCGCCGCTGGCATACGGGCAGCCTATTAAATCAGGAGCGGGTCGGATTATTCCGGAACCTGCGGTGGGGAATCAAGCCGAGCCGTGATAGCTCACCTGAAGCAGGTTCCCCCCACCCGCTCGAGGGACGACTGGGGGGGGCAGGTATTGGCCAGTTGGCAATATAGGCACAAATTTCAACCTATACCAATTTCATGTTATGGACACAAGTGTGAATTTTAACGGAGAAGGATGAACTTGGTATAATCTGACATTCCACTCTGAATATTCTGCCTGGGGGAGGGCGGGGGGTTGGATGGGGGGTGCTGACCTGGACTCTCATTCAGATTTCTCCAGATTTCCCAAAGGTTAAGGTTTTAAATGAGGAGGCCCAACACTTAAGTGGTAAGTGGCACATTCGCTCTAGGGTTGTCACGGGCGATGACGTGCCTTGAATACTGTACCCCCTGTTCTGTACAGCTTTTGGCCAAGTGACCTGGGTAAGAGTCATCGGGGGAAATGGTATATAATACATATTTATACCAGTTTAGCCCCAAAGTTTTTTGCCATTGTGTCATCAGTAGCACCTGACAGTGGTCCAGGGTACCAGGAATAGCCCTGACCTTCATCCCCTGTCTCCATCCGAAGGTGTCGTTCCTCTGGCAGTATGACCAGGCGGTAGATGATCGCTCTCTGGAACAAATGGAGGTGCAGTTACTGGAAGTTGGCATCGTTTAGAAATTTAATTAGCTGCAAACGGTTTGATTATTAGCAGGCCATACCTTCTGCCTTTGAAATTAGTGCCGTTATGAATGACTATCCCAATTAACTGTGGATCCCGGAATCTCTGGAGCTCATTCCGGAATATCTGGAAAAAAACACTGCAAGGAACAGTGCTGTGGTAAAGCATTGTTCTTCCATCAGATGTTACACGTTTCTATAGAGTTGAATTTGTGGGTTTTCAGAGAGTGTTGGGGGGGCCGGGGGGGGCTTTCACTTGTTAACATTCAGCATCAGATCTCGGTTACCAGATCAATGCTTCACCTCAATCCGTGATCAAAAGAAATTCCTGAAGGCAAAAATCCAGCCTTGCATTGCACAGTGAGAGCAGTCCTGGTGCCCACAGTCCATACTGGGTGCATTTAGATTATATGATCAAGTTCAGTGCAATAACTTTTTCATATCTATTATGCACATAATTTGTAATTAATATTAGTTTAAATATTTTGTGTTGTGCATTTATGCTGCCTGAGTATGTGTGCCTATAGTTTAAGAAGGAAACCATGACGATAAAATATGTTCGCACCCGAGGCCGGGGGCAATGCTGCCGCCGTTGCCTACTTTCCGTGCATTGTGCGACTTGCGTTTTGTGTCTCATGTCTGGTTGGCACTGCTCCTGGCAAGCGCAGGACTTACAGAATACAGAATAATTTTATATACATTTTGTGGTCTGTTTAGTTGTTTACTTAAACAAAATATTTGGATTGTTCATCTGCTGCTTGAATCTTTTGTAATGCACCAGTTAGATAAGCATGCAGCCGCATTTCCCTAGTGGCAAAACAAAAGAGGGAATAGGAAGTGGTTACAGGAAAAACCAGGCGTAGTTTTTGCCACTTCAGTGTCACTTTGCATGTCAGGACGTGTTAACATGCAGACACAAGGTACCTTCCAAAGATCCCTGAATCCTGCTGTCTTCATACCGCAGATTTAAAAGGCGGGGGGGGGGGGTTAGCGCTTAAACTCCAATGCCCCCACCACACCTGGGGTTAGGTCAGTCCTCAGGTGCGCTCACACTGCAGTGGGCTGGGTGGGGGCTGGGGAATCGAGGTCCATATCTGACTGGTGCTGTATGTGTGGAGCTGAGAGCCCATTTGGTTGGTATTGGGCCAGCAAGATGCGGTGGTTAAATTGACCTTCAAGGTCTGAAAATACAGACACACACACACCCGTCAGAGACTGACAATGAAAGGCTGGTGGCACTCCAGCTCGCTGCAGGTAGTCTGGCCATCCCAGGGCGGGGGGAATCTGGCATTTTTTAAGGTCTCCTTTTCCATAGCTGACGCTGATGATATGAGAGTGAGGGATGATGGGTAGGGGCGGGACATTTCATTTGGCCCCCCATATTAATAGAGCATGCTGTCTGTACGGAAGATGAGTGGGAAAGGTGCTGTGTGAGCGCGTGCAGCCCGAGCGCGCCGGCGGATGCGGTCTGATTATGTAAGGCGTTATATAAGACTCCAGCATACTAATCGATACTCTTTCATTATTTACAGCTGCGTTCTTGTCTCTCTGCCTGTGCATAACTGTGTGTGTCTGTGTGTCCATCTGTCTGTCTTTGTGATTTCTTTTGTTTGTGGTAGAGGGAGGCGTGTGTGTGTGTGTGTGTGTGTGTGTGTGTGTGTGTGTGTGTGTGCTGCTGTCTCATGTTAACACGTCTCTTCCCCCAGCAGCTGACAGCCTTCCAGGTCTGGCTGACCATGGGGGTGGAGAACAGGAACCCCCCCGAGCAACTGCCCATCGTCCTGCAGGTAACCCCCCCCCCATCGTGTCACGCCGGCTGGGGAGTGAGCACCGCCTCGCCGTTTCTCACTCCGTAGGGCGCGACACTCCCGCCTCCCTGTCGTGCTCCGTCTCCCCAACTCGACGCCCCCCCACCGCAGACCGCGATGCGCTTCACAGACGGCCCTGCGCTCAGTTGTAATTTCGTCCTGAGTCAGCAGCCACTGCCTGCGGGGAGCGATGAGGAGGCGGGGGACAGCAAGGCATGCTGGGATATCTGCCTGTCTGAGTCTCGACAGCCGTCGGTGTGGATTGATGGAGCGTGAGATGCGTCCGGGGGCGTCAGAGGGCCACGCACACCCTGGCCAATGCAGGGTGCCTAGTGCTTGACAGGGGCCACAAAATCCGGCAGGGGACATTTTATCATGGGGCCCAGACAATCTGGGTTAATAAAGGCACATCGGCCCAGCTCCGAGTTTGGGCCCCTGCGTATCCCCCCCCTGCCCCTCCTTCATTTTCCATAAAAGTTAGTAAAACAAAAAAAAAAAAAAACTGCGAAATAAGAAATTGGGAGCGGCGCCGCAGCCGGAGGGTACCGGCCCAGTGTCCGTCCGCCTTGGGCTCTGCGCTCATTAACATGCTGCCGGCACACACACAAATCCCCAGCCCCCCCACGCTGGCCCACGGGCCGCTGCCCATTTAGTGGTGGCATTTGGAGCCGCGCGCCCCCCCCAGGTGCTGGCCGGCCCAGCTCTCGTTTGGGGCCCGCGCCGCATTTCCCAGTTTCTGTAACCTTTTTTAAAATGCGCTCGCGGGGCACAGTGATAAATCTCCACTGTCTCCTCCTTCACATGCCCCTTAATCTTTAACAGTTGGTGCCCCTCCACCCTCCAGTTTAAAAAATAAATCCGTTATGTAAGACATGGTTGCAGAAAGCTGTGAGCCATCTGAGGAGGAGGCCCCCGTGTTTACAGTGAGGCCCCTCCCCTACCCGTACACCCACACATCTTCAAAGCCTTATGCTAATCCCGGGGTGGGGGGGTTGAAGGGACTCCGGATTTATTGGGGTGGAGGGGGTTCTGGCAGCTGGGAAGAATAATCCAGAGGGATCCTGGCTGATGGCTGAGCTGATGCCATCATCGTGTCCTGTCTGTTCCCCCCCCCCCAATCCGCAGTGGTAATGTGGTGCATGAATACCAGACACATGCACACAAGCAGGGCGTGAGGGCTTTTCTCAGCCCGCGAGCCGACATCCGCTGGCCCGCCACAGCCAGGCCAAACGCACATATGGCGGCACGAGTGCACCCCCTCTAAACGAATCGTCCTAATTACCTCGCCGTCCATGGCTATGCAGATCGGACATCTGCACAGTCTGATTCCTCCCCCGCCCCTGACAGCCGGCCGGCCCGCCGCTCTGCCTCCTTTCTGCTCCCGCCCGGCAGGTTAGGGCGCCAGCAGCCACTCCGCTCTCTCCTCGCCCTGTTAGCGCCTGGCCTTAGTGTCGCCTTCTAAGAGCATATTTGCTTGGCACGTTACCGTCATTGGTTGGCCCCGAGTCATGGCTGGATGGACCCACATTTTCAGGGAACCGGGTGTCCTGATATGCCACGGTAATCTCCCAGCAGGCCGTGCTCTGCTTCCCCACATACCCTCCGCCCCCCTTCTCCCCGCCCCATGACTTGAGCTCTCAGGCTATCCTTTTGGGAGGCGGGGCCCCGGTGCTGGTTTTGCTGCCCCCTTCCGGCTCCTCCCCTCCCCCGCCAGTGTCACCGCTCTGTGGGCACGCTAAGTATAGCCCTGGACGAGGGGGTCTATCCGCTCCCGTGTTGGCGGTGCTGAGTCCGCTTCCTTCTGTACCGGTCCAGGGGAGCAGCAGGCCGGGGCCGCGTGGGAGTGCCGTCATCTGGCCCCCGCTCTGCTGCCGTGCTCACCCGTGCCAAGCGTGTGCACACGGACACACGCAGACACGGGCACTTGCACCGAGACACTTGGATAGGTTACAGAGACCTTCTGGCATTCCAACACACACACACACACACACACACACACACACGGACACAGCTACCCACATTAGGTCTCAGTGTGTCAGCCTTCCTCACCGATCGATCGCCCCTTGCTCTCTCACAGGTCCTCCTCAGTCAGGTGCATCGATTGCGAGCCCTGGACCTGTTGGGCCGCTTCCTGGACCTTGGGCCCTGGGCCGTCAGCCTGGTGAGTGAGTGGACCAGGCCGGGTCAGGCAGGACCGGAAGGGCATGACGCACCTCTGACGCTGGCCTTTCTGGACATTTAGGCTACTTCTGGATCTATGTCTTTTTACTTTGGAGATCATGTTAGCTTGTTTGTTCGTTTTATCCGTAATTCGGAGGATTATACCTCAGCAGCCCTGTGTCGCAGGTGGGTGATGTGCTACCCAGCCATAAGCTGATCTGCATAATGAATCAGTGAAGCGCTTGCAGATATCAACAGTTAATACTAAATTATTTAAACCATTGCATTGTCTGCCTCCTTTTATCTCAAGGCGACCCGCAGAGCTTAATATTAATCCCCTCCACTTTATTTGTACAGCTGGAAGTTTAACAGTTTAAACAGTTAAAGATGCCTCGTAAGAAGGCCGTGGCTTAGAGGTCCAGTTTGGGGCAGTGCGCTTGCGGGTTCCGAGCTGACGCCATGTGTCTAACCCCAGGCGCTCTCCGTCGGCATCTTCCCCTACGTGCTGAAGCTGCTGCAGAGCTCGGCCCGTGAGCTACGGCCTCTCCTCGTTTTCATCTGGGCCAAGATCCTAGCCGTGGACAGCGTGAGTAGCCCTCAAAACAGCCAGCGTTTTGACTCAAGCCCTGGCAACATCTTCCTCAGTTGGCCAGCAGGTGGGGGCTCACGCGGGCTGTTAAATCTGTGCTCTTCATTATTACCAGGGGTGTTTCCCAATATGCGTAACTGACCGTACTTGTGTTCTCGTGTACCCATTTTACGTCATCTTCCATTGCCGAAGACTATTCCAATGCTAAGAACAGAAGTTGGCGCATCTCAGAGGATGGTAAAAATCCCCGGATGTCGTTCTTGCCCCGTCCCAAATATCAAGGATACGGATGCATCGTTGCTGAATGGGAACAATCCCATGATTCATTGTGCCCCAAATTCATCTTTGCATTTGTATTGAGAAATATCCCAGGTCTTGCAGGGTCCCCCTGTGGGTTTATGTGAAGAAAAAAAGAGATGCTCAAAGCATTCTCAGTGGCAAATAGGTACAGACGCTCCTCTACTTACCGATACGAAAGTACAAAGAACTGAGATGCTGGGAGTACACATGCTACGCTGCTGCGCCGCGGGAGTAGCAGTCAGAAGTCGCACTAGGTGGAATTGGCGCGCAGAACAAAATTTGATTTTGCGGACAGGGAACGGGAGCCCAACGAACACAATTCGGACTCAGTCCTCTTTGTTCGTATGTCTGAAAGTTCGTATGTTGTAAGTTCGTAGTTGGAGGAAGGGGTTTGTAGGACCCAGGGGATGCCGGGGCCTGTTGAGCAGGTGCTCAGAATGCCTCATCCCTTTCCTGGATGTAATGGTGTTCTCAACCGCACTTGTGTACTGAAGAGACGGGCAGCCAGTAATTGGAAAAGCCAAAAATAGCTTGAATAGGGTCTGTTGAGAGGCCAGGACCCTCTCTTTCTCCTCTGAGTGGAAGAGGGGTCAATGTGAGCCCTTTCACTCTCGAGTGCATGTGATACTGCGGCTCCTCCCTCCCCAAGGACACGTTTGGCACGCTGTCCCTCAGCACCCCCCCTCCAGCCCTGTAGCACCCCCTCCCTCTATGGTACCCTCTTCACCTTACCTACGCTACTCTCGGGCGATGCAGAGCGCAAGTTTTAATGATTTTGACATTTAAAGATGCTAAGTCATCCAGATTGAGATATTAACATTAAGGATTGTTATTATTGACTTGATTTGGTTTCTTATAAATATTAAAATTTTCCACGTTATTGAGTTTTTTTTGTGCACCCATATCCATAAAAGAATAACGACAGGACGTAATGTCAACCGTTCCTTTATAAACAAAATGTCCTCGCAGAGTGGGTAATTAGCGAGTCGCTAGCTAGTTTCGGTTATGTCTGGGGAATCGACACAACTTAAGGGTCGTTCCTGGTTCCATAAAGCGAGTTTGAGGGGAAATGGGCCGCCGCAGGTTACTCCGGTGCTGACTACTGCCAGCTGGCTCATCGTATCCGTCAGATTCATCACCTGTCACTTTGTCTCAGAGGAAAGCAGGGCGTAGCCAGCTAACGGAAATGTCAGGGGGGGTAGGATTGGGGAATGGCACCCAAAGCAGGATGCTAGCAGGCCAGTGCTTTGGGGCCTTTTTGAATGCAGGTACCCCCCCCCCCTTCATCGCTGAGAGGGATCAGCTGAGTGTGATACCGAGCTGCTGATATGTTCTGCTGAAAACGCTGCCTGCTCCCGCCAACTCAGTTTCCATATGCTGCCCATTTCCTTAGCGCCCCCCCTTTCCAGCTACTTCTGGAAAGGTTTTGCTCACATTTGGGCTCACGGACACGCACACACTAATTCAGACACGCACACACACACATAGACACACAG